GCAACTTTAAGACTTGTGGACTTCAACACCCAGAATTCCCCTGCCAGCCAATGCTTGCTGAGGATTTCTGGGAGTACAAAGTACACATAAAGTTGCCAAGGTTTGAGACCCTTGGAGAAATTGCTGTGCATCCTTTGAAGACATTTGGCTGGCAAAAGCCTCATCTTCTTAATTGCTTTAGGAAAGCTGGTGATAAAATTATTCAAAAGTTTGCCATTGGGAAGATAAGAAACTAGTTAGTACAACAACAGACCACACGTTCATTTTGACCAATGTCCAATTGCTTTGTAGTAATCTCTCCAGATTCTTTTGATGAGTACTCCAAATCCTCTAGTAACTCACTTCATGTTTTATAGCAGAGCAAATAGGACCAAGGATCCCATACGGTAACTGATCACCCCTCTCCTCCACCATTGTCAAACTGGAACCATTGCTCAGGAATGATGAGAGCTTCTGCCCACCCAACACTCAAGACCTTGAAGGCCATTGAAAAAGCCATCCTACTTCAAGCAAGCTTGAATAAAGTTATTAGAATACTTTGCTACTAATTGCAATGTGCAAAAAAGTCCTGTGTGCCTCTATTTTGTGAAAGGATAACTATTGATAGTTACAAGTAATGTGATAGATGAAGAACACTTGCTTGGTATTAACTATTGATCTCTTAATATTGTCAAGTTTTGATTATCAATAAAGGAGAATATTTGTAGCTCAGAGTTGAAATGAGGGGTCTTTAGTGGTCTCTGAGCTTGATTGTTTTCTTACAGATGTCTCATTACCCAAAATAAGTAACATTATCAGTTTTAGTGGGCTGATGTTACCTAGTTTGGGTAATGAAACAGCTGCAAGAAAACAACCAAGGTCAGATAGCACCAAGGACCCTTTAGTTTTGATTATCCTGTTGGATTCAGGAGAATCTGTCTTCTTCACCTAAGCCCCTTCACACATTTTTACTGTTGGGATGTCATTTATGGTTATGTCTAGCTGCTACTGTTCAGGGTAGGCCAAAAAAAAAAAAGGCAAATTGATAAAAGCAATGAACAATAAAATAAACTCTTTGCTGATGAAACTGCCAACCTCTTTCAGTCCTGCATCTGAGCTGCCAGCTGCTATTCTTGTTATGTCGTGTCTTCCCCTAGCTGTCTCTTTTCCCTTGTTCACTGCATGGAAGGGGAATCCCTGCTGAGCAAATTGCAAAGCCTCATGCTTTCTCTCTTGCTTACTCACAAGTCATTTTTCTCGCTCTCTCCTCAAAGCTCCCCCCACCTCTTATTTCTTCTTCCAAGGTGACTTCTTTGGTATCCCCCTTTTTCCTTCACTTGTGTATTCTTTCCCTCCATCCATGTTGTGTCTTTCCACCCATGTCCATCTATGTATATATCCATAGCCTTTTACAGATAGCTCTTGTTTACTGACCATAATTGGCACCAACAACTGAGATATTAAGTGAAGCTATGTGAAACTGTAACTGTACTTACGATCTTACTTCCGCTTTTCTTTGCTTTACAGACCCATGAAAGTCATAAATGCAAGAACCTATTCTAAAGATACTTTTTCATCATTGTTGTAATTGCAAAAGGTAGTCTCTAAGTGAGGATTTTCTGTATACTTTCTTGATACTGGACCTCATTGGGAGAATCTTCCTCCTTTGCGTAGGTCTCCAATTCTGGTTTCCATACTACCGGTAATTCCAAAAAATCTACTACGTTTTATCACTTCCTTCAACTTCTATTTACTTTCTGACCTCCAGAGAATCTAATATTCCCACTTCTAACTATTTCCAGTTCCGGCCCTGAGCACTTAATTTAATTTTGTTACTTTTTGATTCAACTGCAAGCAACTAGACTTCACGAGTCAGTATAGACACAAAGCCAACATAGAAAGAGGACAAAATGCCTGTGCTCTTGGGAGTAATTCTCCCCCTAGAAGAACGAAATATTTAAAAGGCAATATAGAATATTTTCCCTAAAGAAGATATGGGGAAAAAATCTCAAGGGAGGCAGAAACCAACACCAGTCTTCCTGACCCAAGCAGAAACTGAGGAAGCCAGCTTTTAGAAATGTAGATTTGGTAATCCATTCAGAAAGACTGGGTCAGACAGAAACTCCAGATAAGTGATTAGGCAAGGCAAGGTTAGCTCAGACAAAAAAAACACCTAGGATTTGCATTTTCTCTTTTGCCTATAGAGCCAGCCATGACCCAGAAGGTATAAAACCCACACATTCTCAACTCCATTTTGTCAGTTTTCCCAGAACTACATGCATCTGGTAGTTCTGTTTCATCAATAAACCAACTTTCTTTCCAATCAGCCTTCATTTTATTCCTGGATCGGAACTGGATCTGGATTTTTCTTCCAACATTCTTTAGTCCTACTCCAAACAGTGAGAACAATCGATGGAATGGTTTGCTTCCAGAAGTTGTGGGTTTTCCATCGCTGGAGGTTTCTAAAGAAGAAATTGGACAGCCATTGGTCAGGAATGATATAGAGTCTCCTGCTTGAGCAGGACTACAAGATCTCCAAGGTCCTTTCCAACTTTGTTGTTATGTTATTCTGTTAAACAGTACACAAGTCTAGATATCAGTAGCAGGGAATTGACCGTTGTCTTACCTGAACGGTCCTTCTATGGGTGCTGCGAAGGGAATCCAATCATGGGTTAACTTAGCCCTCTAGCCTTGACACTGAGTATGCAAATTTCAAAGCCACGCCTCCTCTGACTGGATTTCCGTTTCCCTCCAGTTCTCGTACGAAGTCCACCGAAGAAGCAATTATGTCAATTGTCAATCAAGCCGCAGGCAATCCGGTACTAACTAGTCGAGTCCAGTCAGAGATAAGATAGTCACAGAGTCACGAACAAGATGGAGCCCTGACCAACCGAAACTGCGGGCGGGTTTGGATTCCCTTCGCAGCACCCATAGAAGGACCGTTCAGGTAAGACAACGGTCAATTCCCTGCTNCCGGAGCGCTCCTGTCGCTCTCAGCAGCGACGCAGCCAGACAGACCGCGCCGCGGACGGCGGGCGAACGTGGCTGGTCCTCCCGGATTAACCACGCCGCGAACGGCGGGAATTCCCGGTCCTCCGATGCGGCTGGAAGGCTTCAGGCGCAGTAACAAACCATCGGCTAAAAGCCTCTTCGCAAAGCCCAAATGGCAAGCCCAGAAGGCAGAACGGGCGCTAAGCCCAGCGCCAAGCCTCCCATCCAATGATCCAAGATAGTTCCAAGCCCCAAAGCGGTGGCTGTAAGAGCCAGCAATGCCTGCTACGAAGCAAAACGGGTAGGAAAACCGGCAGACAGCGAACTGTCGTCTCTCCTTACCTGCAATAATAAACACTCACACACATACACTTGAAAATCCAAACAAAGGCAAACTTTATCTCAGAAGACTGGAGAGAAAATTGGTATATGTCTCGTCTGGCTGGACTGAGTTAAAAAACTGACCCTATCAGTCAGAGGAGGCGTGGTCACCAATTTGCATAACTCAGTCTCTAGGCTAATGGACAAAGTTAACCCATGCTTGGATTCCCCAAGCAGCACACAGGAGAAGATGTAGGTTTCTTATCTGGGCATATTTAGCTAAGGTAGAAACAGCAAAATAATAAACTGGGGAAAAAGCACAAATTGTATGTAAACTCATGAGAGAATATTATGTTGCACCAGACAAAATGTAACTATACTCTGGAAAATTGCATACTTCCAACTCACTTTTTTTTTCTTTATTCCCAATTGTGACTCCTACTCCCTATCACTGGGTTCACCATAGCTTATTAGATGTCTGGCAAAAGGACATGTCTTCTTTTTTGTCCATATGTCTTCAGTTTGGGAGTCTTAAAATCAAATACTCACTTGCTTTTTGAATGTCTTGGTTTTGCTTTAAATTGAGCTGTTTCATAGCAGTGGCCATTCAAACATTCATGTACTGGGACCTTATAAATTATCTGTTCTTTCTTTCCTTGTTCATTGACAGATTTGACAGCCTAGATTTACTCCCTCCTGTCAAATCTACAATCATAGTAGTTTGTAAGTCCTATCACTCCTCATACATTTCTATAGTATATCTGAAATGTAAGAAAGCACATCACCATTGATTCTATATTATTGCTAGCATTTTATTGAGAATAAAAAAAGTGTTGGAAAATATTGCAATTGACCAACTAGACTTTCTGAGCAGTAAAAAGTAATTTCATATTTATGTAGCCAGGGGTGAAATCCATCTCTAGCTGGCCCCAGAGTGGGGTGGGAATGGAGATTTTGCAATATCCTTCCCCTGCCACGCCCACCAAGCCACACCATGGCTACCAAGCCACGCCCACAGAACCGATAGTAAAAAAAACTGATTTTCACCACTGATGTAGAGCTAACTAATGTACATTTCTGGCAGCGTTTTGCTATAACTTTGAACACAAGATCCCCAAAATGTTGAACACTCAGGGTGTCCTCCTCTCCCCCATGTGTTTTCCTTTCCTTGTCCACATTTCCCTGTTGAGACATCTGGGAACCCTAGGTTAAGCCATAGTTTAATACTGTATATCATAACTGACCATGTATATACACATAATAAACGCTAGGCTAGTTTATAGTTCAATGCATTGCGGGAATCTAATAAACATTTATTAAATCGCTATGGTTTAGCCCCATTTGTAAATCCAGCTTATGCACATTGAAATATCTAAACGTTACTAAACGTACGCTTTATATTACTTTCGTTGAGTGAACGATACGCGATAGAGTTTAACACCACTACTAAGAACAGAGCACTTCTTGCGTTTTGTTTCGTAGACTCTCGATTTCCGGATTAGTCAATAAGGTCTCACAGCAATCGACGTGATAGGCATTTGACTCGATCGCGGGGGCGTGGCAAAAGAAGTTTTCCGGCGACGGGTGGGCGGATCTATGTTAATGACATATATTTCGCCTTCCGTGATTGGCTCCCTTGCCTTCTGATGAAAGCCGGGTAAAGTGGCGGGGTAAGCGCTGTGGTTTGACGCTGTCGCGCCGCTCTCACGATGAGCCGTAGCGGGGGCATCCTCGGCTGCGGCCGGCGTCTTTCTGCGCTCGGGGTCTTGCCGCCCAAGGGTTCTCTAGCTGGTGAGCGATCTCTCGTTTTTCTGCAGGTTGTGAATGGAGCTGGGGGGATTGCAGAGAGATTTGGCAGTCCAGGAACAAGCGAGAGGCGGGGAGACTTAAGAACAGTGAGATTCAAAGGGGGCGGAAGAGCTCGGGCTATGGAACGATTGTCTTTGCAAAAAAAATCTTAAGAAAAGATAATTACGGTGGAAGGAAAGGGGTGGTGATGGTGGAAGAGTCTGGTTTTTGGGAAAACTGCCAGGATGAATTGCGCCGGATCTCGCTAGAAAAGCACTTCTGGGACTGGTTGCATTTATAGTCCAGTTTATTTGAAGATCAACTCGAGGAAGTTGATGCAAATCGGGGAAAAAAAGATAAGTGGGAAGCCCAAACTTGCGTTTCATGTGGTAAAGGGAGAGACGGCCCAATGCAAGTCGTTTGTCTTACAGTGCCTAAGATAACGATGATGAGCCCTTAATGTGACAGGTTGCAGCATCTGCACTAGGAGGTTTTATCACAGTGGTCACCAACCAATGGTCGTGGACCACTGGTGATCCATGAGAAACTTTTGGTGGTCGGCATTAAAATTATTTGCATTTTTTATATTGCACTAAATACTATTTATCTTTTTAAAAGAATCATATTAGTGGTCCCTGGGATTTAAAATTATGAATTTAGTGGTCTCTGAGGTCCGAAAGATTGGTGACCCCTGTCTTATAATATGGTGCTCCCATAAAAAGAAAAAGAGAGTGCCATCTCTACCTGTAGGCCTTTATATGTACATTTTCATTTGAGCATTAAAGTTTGTAAACCAAGAGACTGAGAACAGGGCATGGTGTTGCTGCTGTGTCTTTGCACTTATGCATTTTTGCAATGTCATTTTTTTAAGCAGAGTGCTTATTTGTACATTGAAATATGCAGACAGCTCTTCGGGGGCTCTGTATTATAATGCCTTTTTCATAATGCTGGCATTGTAGTCCTGGGCCAGTATTGCCACAGTTGTGTAATGCTGCTGATGGGTATCCATGATGTTTTCTGCAAAAGTATAATGGAAACAACTGTTGCACATATATACATTAGTTTATGAACTGCTAGTTAATTTAATAAAATATAGATATAGGTACATATTCCCTTAAAATAAGAGAAGGAAAAATCTAATGTTGGATTTAGATCAATTTGGTTGTCAAAGTTCTTGTGGGAGTCATTTGCACATGATCTTGGTTGACATCAGATCAGGTTAAGAAAGAGCATGAGAATGTGACCACTGAGAATTGGTTTGTTTCCAGGCACAATGTAAAGTGGTGGTTATGATGTCCAAAGCCATGGATAAGTTTGTATAAGAATGTTCAAAGGTCACATACTTGTGTTAGACTCTGTCAAAAGTTCTGGGGGCCTTTCTCTCTGTATTACCTTCTATAGGAAGTACATTTGGGGAATGTGTAAGAAGGACTTTGGTGGCTGCACTCAGTCTGTGTATATCCTTGCCACGGAATAACATACAGGTAACCCTCGAATTAGAGGGTGGCCAGTGGCTAGGACGCTGAGCTTGTCGATCAGAAAGGTTGGCAGTTCGGCGGTTCGATGATTCGAATCCCTAGCACCGCGTAACAAAGTGAGCTCCTATTACTTGTCCCTTCTAGCTAGCTTCTGCCAACTAGCAGTTCAAAAATGCAAGTAGAAAAAATAGGAGCCACCTTTGTTGGGAAAGTAACAGTGTTCCATGCGCCTTTGGTGTTTAGTCATGCCACATGACTACAGAGATATCTTTGCACACGGCTTTGAAACACAGATGAGCACCACCCCCTAGTGTCGGGAACAACTGCCACATATGTGCGGGGGGAACCTTTACCTTAACCCTCGAATTATGACTATAATCAATTGAGCCCAACTTTTTTGTTGCCACAATTGTTAAGTGAATCACTTCAATTATTAAGTTGGTATCATGACTGCTAAATCACTCTGGCTTCCCCATTGACTTTGCTGGCCAGAAGGTCACAAAAGGAGATCATATGACCCCACAACACTGCAACCGTCTTAAATATAATTGTCAAGCATCTGAATTTTGATCTTGTGACCATGGGGGATGCTGCAACGTTTGTAAGTGTGAAAAATTATCATAGGTCATAGGTCCCTTTCAGTGCAGTTGTAATTTCGAACAGTTCCTAAACAAACTGTTGTAAATCAAGGACTATCTGTATTAGCCTGATCTCTCCTGACCTCCTGTTAGCAAGCAAAGGCTGATTAATGTAGCAGTAAGAATGCCAGATATATAAAGGTTGATATCCCCCACTTGATTCACTCCTGCCAGTATTTAGCTATTTGGATGCTTGTCATCTGGTTCATATTTATGACAGTTGCAGTGTCCCAGGGTCACGCGATCCCCTTTTGCAACCTTCTGACAAGCAAAGTCAATGGGGAAGCCAGATTCACTTAGCAACTGTGTTACTAATTTAATAACTGCCATGATTCACTTAGTAAATGTGGCAAGATAAGTCATAAAATTGGGCAAAACTCAACAAATTTCTCTCTTAGCAACATAAATTCTGGGTTCAATTCTGGTCGTAAGTCAAGGACTACCTGTATTTAATCCTTTCTCTTCTGAAATAATTATTCTCCTGGGAATTATAGCAATTGTTATGCAAACTCTCTGAAGAAAACTAATACTTATCCTGTTATTTCTAACATGTTGTGACCCAATGGGCATACCGTATTTTTTGGAGTATAAGACACACCGGAGTATAAAATGCACCAAGGTTTTGAAGAGGCAAATTAAAAAAAAGTAGGTTGGTAGATAGAGGGGTAGAGAGGGAGAGAAAGAGAGAGAAATACACTAGGTAGGTAGGTAGGTAGGTAGGTAGGTA